ACGTTATTGCTCATTGAACACAATGCATTTCATAAGACCAACGCGTGGGCAGTGCTTGTCAATCCTACTGTCCGTAGCCCAAATTACATGCGTACAATGTTTCCCTTGAAGGTGGATCATCACAATGAAACGGCAGTAAAATGATGTCATCGATTTTATCCAGTCGATAAACCCATAAACACTGATGTCATCGAGAAAGCTTAACATCACAATTAAGCGTCGATTCAGGGAACAACCGATCTATAACGTCATAAAGAGACAACACAAACTTAAGCCGTTCTTCCAATGCCCTTGTTCAGTTAACGACATTGAAGAGTGTTACTCAAAGTGCATTGCATACCTATGGACGGAGGGCTAGGTCAAATTAGCTAGCGGATTGTACTAAAATGTAAAGGTCAGCGCATACAGTTATCGTAGAAGCACGATATTTTCACAACAGCATATGACGCAAAGCACATGACGATGACGCTGCTTACATTCAATTAATGTCAGTGCTGTGTGTTAAGCCATCATGTTTCATTTTCCTCCTTCGAGTGCATGGAACGGGCGTTTTCGTGTCGTTAGATTCCATTCTCACAAATATCGAACGACATTATGGAATGACCTACCACCTAGAAACGGAAGCCTTTCAAAAGCACGCCACCTCATCGTCCTGACGAAATTGGACCGGCTTCACAAGGCGCATGCAATTTTCGGCGCCGTCGAACTAAGCTGCTTACAGCCGGAACCTCGGACGATTCCCGGCGGCAACCTAATTACCCGCTCCCCGCCAGACCTAATGTCGGCACCCGGACGGGTAACCCGGTCGCCGACATTACGTCTGGGAGGAGAAGGAGGGGGGGGGGGGGGAGAGGGCCGGTCATGTCTGCCGAGATCCCGTCCTCTGGTGCGTCCTCCGAGCCCTGCCATCACATGCGCTAAGACTAAGGCTCCCGTCACCGCCTCTCATTTGTGCATGCATGTCACCCGCGGTCACCCGATTACGCCTGCGACCCCTTTGCTCGAGCCTCCCAGTCGCCCGCCGTCACCCGTGCGTCCCACGAATGACACGAGGTCACTGCGGACTCACCTCGTACACAGAGCAGCGCCAGGACGGCCGTGAGGAGCGTACACGGCGTCATGATCGAGCCACGGCGCAGATACAGCCGGCGTCCAACCGTCGCCCGCGGCGCCCACCGTCCGCGCCGCCGCCGCCCGAGCACCAGCGCGCGTCACCGCCGGCACCGCCGCGTGTTTCGCGTCGCCGACACGTGTCACCGGCGCGCGAGGCGGCGGCCGGCGCGCTATCGGTTCCGAGCGGCCGCTGCCACGTGACGCGCCAACGTAAACAGCCGCCTGTTTGTTGATTGGTTTCTCCCGCGCGGTCCGTGTGTCCGCGGCGGGCGCGTCGCGTCAGGAGCGTCGCGGCGGCGGACGTCCGGCGGGCGCTCGTCGCTGCCGACTGGCGGCGCGGCGTCGGCGCCGGCGGCCGCCGCCTGCGCAGTCGGCCGTCCCCCCGGCGCCCGGCCGGCCGCCCATGCACAAGGCCGGCCGCAGCGACGGCGGCGACGACGCGGCGCCGGGTCCCACCAGCGTCTCTGGCCGCCTGTCGCCGCGGGCGGGTCGGTCCGGCGCCGAGGCAGCACGCCGGCCGAGCGGCGGAGGGCTAGTGAAGACGCCGAGCGGGTCCGAGGCACACGGACGGGCGTTGCCGTGTCACCGGGCGGGGTGTAGATCCCGAGTGACCAGTTGGGTGTGGCCTGTGTGATCGAGCCGTGCACCCCTGCACACTGGATAATTTCGTGTTACCATTCAGGGCTGTCCCGCGTGGTGAGCTCAGACAAGCTCGGTCGGTCGGGCCATCACCGACGTCAGCTCCACGCTCCTGAGAAATGATTGCTGGCTGCAGGGCATCCACCCGCACAGTCACACTGGCGCCGATGTGTGCTGCCATGGCCAGTGTCCACGCTGTGGATCGCTGATGATAGCCCGGCCTGTTTACTCCGCCTCGTTCGGGGAGACAAGGGACGTCAGATCTGAGACTTCGTCGCTGGAACAAGGCAAGACTACCCATTTTGCCCCGAAATTGGGATGCTCGCAAAGCAAAGAAATCCTTTGCGACTTCTGCTTTGATGAGCATGTTTGTTCAGCATACTGCGTCACAGTTTGCGAAGAAATTACTTTTCTCCGATTGCTCGTCTGTTCTCTTCTTGTCTTTGTTTAACCTTCTGCGTACCGGATGAAAATCCTAAGACATTTACTTACTGAATCAAAGTTGTAAGCATACAAGTGTGCATCGCCTGCATCCAACTCATCTCGAAATTAGCGCTCACTCGTGGTAACGACTGATGCAGCCGGCTAATGCTTATTGTGATGCTGAAAATATCAAGCATTCAATGTGTGCTATTCCACTCGCGTTGATAAGAGCGCCTGCCTGATTTGTGGCATTGCGCTTCCAGCATCAACCCCATTTTTGGCTCCTTGTGGGGAGAGAGAGCACGGCCAGGCTATTTCGTCAAGATGTCATCAAATGAGACAGGGCCTACAGGGCTGCAGGAGACCAGCAAAGGGTCTTTAACGGCATAACACGCCTGTGACGATAGCAGAGTCACTGTATTGATGCGGCACCGTGACGATAGCCGTCATGACTGTGACAGTCCTCGTCACGTAGATGAAGGGAGCACAGCACTATTGGGGCCTCAGATCTGTGTTTCAGGCCTCTTTTAATCGACATAATCCATAAATCTTCCGTGGCTTACTTTTGTGATGACATTGCCAAATAATTGCAAAAAACAGAAAGTTTCAGCGGGGCTGGTAACAGTGAACCGCACCGAACGCCTGTGTAAATTTATGGAACGGGTTTCTCTCGGTTTTAGCTCCAGCGCGTTGCATTCGTGACTAGTTTCAGACGATATAAGGTATAGTTGCTTTTCAGTCTGCTTCTGGTGCACTTAGTGTCAGAGAGGGATGGGATACCTTAGTGGTTTGTGAGCTGTACATTCACTTCCACGATTTGGTTCATTCCATGTCCCACTTTCACCAGCTGCCAAGTCCTGACATCGCTCCTTAAAAGCACCCCAAACCGGGCGGATCTGTGGTCGGCGCTCGCGAACACGTGGGATCAAGCCATGACATCAACATTGGGCCACAGCGTTGCTAGCACGGTGGTTCGAGCTCTTTCCTCTGTCCAAGCGGCGTCGATCCCATATCGTCGCGACGCTGAGTCGTCCATATTTATGCCTGGTTTCAAACTGTCTTGTCCAGCGATTTTGCATCTAGCAGACCTTAGGTAGGCAACAGGGGTCGGCTATGCGCAGTTTAGGCTGCAATGTTGCAGGCAGACCAAGCTTGACAGAAGAGACAAGAAGCCGATGCCCAAAAATTGACACTTCAAATCGTTTAAATAATTGCATTCCATCTTGCGGAAGCCGGCATGAACATGCAGTCAACGGCTGCACAGGTGGACCGATGGAACAGGTCGGACCGAGTCTTTACACTGGGACGACAACTTGCTGGTAAGAAATTGGTGCCCGTTGAGGCGTATCAAAACTTTGTGCTTCGTCAGTAGAAAATGGCATACTTGGACTTGGAAGTGGTTTGGCCGGCGACTTTGGATATAGGTCCCAACAGCCATCGTACGCTTATGCCCTCTCTCGTTCTCATTCGGAGTCTCCACCCTCCTGACTGTCACAGCCCTCACTTGAAACAAAGATAGACGTTCAAAGAAACCCATCAAAGACACCCAGTATCAGTCCAGTTAAGTCCAAAATAAACCCTGGCTTTGCACGAAATCAAAGGATGTTTTCAGACCAGCTCCAATATCCAAACAGACCTGTCCTGGCACTTTAATTTGATGACAACATACTAATGCGATGAAGAAAATACGCCAACAATATAAATGGTATCCTGCCGCTAGTCTGTGTTCTGAGTCTCTTGTCACTTCAAGGCTTCTTGCTCGGATGGTGTGAATCTTATATTTGGATTTGCCAGAAGTGTGGCACCAGTTCAATATCACATTTATCAATGTTTCACATAGAAAACCTGGCTTAAACATCTATTGGTTCTTAATTCAGCGCACCCACGGTCTGTCTTTGCGACCACAGCTCGAAGAACACGACGCATGGTCTGTCTACTACATTTGTGGGGGCGAGACACATCCTGACGCTGTGAAATTGTCTCCCTCCCCCCCCCCCCCCCCCCACCCTTATTGCTGTTGTTATGCTCCACAATGTCATCATAGTCTAGGTAGATATGTTTCCGGTGCATGGAAGTACACGACATATGAGCGTATGCCATCGGATTTAAAACATCGAGGAGTCTCCCCTCTAATGGGGCGCCAAAGATGTTCTTTGTTGGTAGCGCCCGACCTGTGTCACGTCATGGGCTGCATTTCGAAAGCTTCCGCGATTTTTCAGAACTCCTTACTGGGATGCACTACTCTCTGCTTTTCTTAGAAGCAAATGCATGCTTTGGTTCTAATCCTCTTACATTAAGGCTGCCCCAGGAGTCCACCGCCTGTCGTGATGGGTTATCGTCTTCTCTGGAAACTAGCCGCCCATGACTTCCTGTAGGACATTCCGTTTGGCAGAATGGGCGGACACCGTGGAACATACCCCGACGCTAGCGTCACCTGTCTCTCACCCTGGCAGGATGGGCGGACGCTGCGGAACATACCTCGACGCTAGCGTCACCTGTCTCTCACCCTGGCAGGATGGGCGGACGCTGCGGAACATACCTCGACGCTAACGTCACCTGTCTCTCACCCTGGCAGGATGGGCGGACACTGCGGAACATACCCCGACGCTAGCGTCACCTGTCTCTCACCCTAGCAGGATGGGCGGACACTGCGGAACATACCCCGACGCTAACGTCACCTGTCTCTCACCCTAGCAGGATGGGCGGACGCTGCGGAACATACCCCGACGCTAACGTCACCTGTCTCTCACCCTAGCAGGATGGGCGGACACTGCGGAACATACCCCGACGCTAACGTCACCTGTCTCTCACCCTAGCAGGATGGGCGGACACTGCGGAACATACCCCGACGCTAACGTCACCTGTCTCTCACCCTAGCAGGATGGGCAGACACTGCGGAAATACCCCGACGCTAACGTCACCTGTCTCTCACCCTAGCAGGATGGGCGGACACTGCGGAACATACCCCGACGCTAACGTCACCTGTCTCTCACCCTGGCAGAATGGGCGGACACTGCGGAACATACCCCGACGCTAGCGTCACATGTCTCTCACCCTGGCAGAATGGGCAGACACTGCGGAACATACCCCGACGCTAGCGTCACATGTCTTCACCCTGGCAGAATGGGCGGACACCGCGGAACATATCCAGACGCTAGCGTCACCTGTCTCTCACCCCAGCAGGATGGGCAGACACTGCGGAACATACCCCGACGCTAGCGTCACCTGTCTCCCACCCTGGCAGCATGGGCGGACACCGCGGAACATACCCCGACGCTAGCGTCACATGTCTCTCACCCTGGCAGAATGGGCGGACACCGCGGAACATACCCCGACGCTAGCGTCACCTGTCTCTCACCCTGGCAGGATGGGCGGACGCCACGGAACATACCCCGACGCTAACGTCACCTGTCTCTCCGACCCTGGCAGAATGGGCGGACACCGCGGAACATACCCCGACGCTAAAGTCACCTATCTCTCACCCTGGCGGGAAGGATGGGCACGGAGGAACAAATTCGGACGCTGACGTCGCCCGCCTCTCACCCTGGCGGGAAGAGCGGACATCGCGAAAATTATACGAATAACATGGAAGGGCGACGTGGATACGAAATGAGGCGTGGCGCCGAGACCAAGCCGTATGGCGCCACGTAGCGCTGGAATCGCCACACGTTCGGGGGAAACAACAAACTTGAGCCAGCCGTTTTGCTCCGCTCCACCGCGCCCGCGTCGGCGGGGGCGGGGGACCTTTGCTTGACCAATGCCTGACAATCACATTCGTTTTGTCCTCGTTGCTAAGTTCTCAGAAAAAGTTTTGAATAGTTGCCACTTTCTTGTTGTGAAGAGGTCTGCTCTTGTCTCCAGCGCAACCCCTTTGGGGAATTTCCAGAGGTCGCTCGGACTTTGATTTGACTCCACCCCCTGTCCCTCCACGGTCATAATTCATGAGAATGGAAAGTGAAATAGTTCACCCTATGTGAGAACAAGGGCTGACTACGATAAGCTTGAAAAATCCAACTAGATTTTAATGCTGCGCCTAA